AAATAAGATTGTGGTGGTGGTTGCATGACATTGTGAATATACTTAAAACAATTGAATTGTACACTTTAAATGGATAGGTTGTATAATATTTGTTATATGAAAGATGCTAAAATTCGAATTACACTTTAAAAAAAGAAATAAAAGATCTTGATATGAGAAAAGCCATTTGATTGAAGGGATTTTCATTAAGGCAAAATAACAGCTTGGGCTACTTTTCAATTCAGAAATTATATTTTTACAGAGTAACCTTTTAGCAATTGCATGGCTGACTCGAGATATTCCAAGGGGAAAGTTATTTTTGAGCACCTTTTTCATCCTTTTTCATCCCAATGCTTAGAATCATGTCTGGCAATAAAGGATTAACAGGAATTGTTCCAAAAAAAAGTGCACTACAAAGAATAAGTCACATGTGCACAGAGAAAACCTGACTTGCTTAGAGCCACACTCTCAGGAAAGGAGCAGCCCATGCTTTCTGAGCAGGGTCATTACCACTGGTGGAAACCCATGTGGTCCAAGTTCAAATGCTATCCTTGGTCCATGTAGAGTCCTGACTAATGCTGCTCCATTCTGTAGGTGACTTTATTTCGTGAGAGACGGGTCACACCAGGGGGAGGTTGCAGGAATTGCAGGGATTTGGCCAACACAGGTTCCAGGACTGGCCAGATACTCCCTGCCAGTGGAAGGTGGACAGCTTGCCCACCCAGTGGTTGGGAGTGTCACTCCATTTAGAGGGAACTGGTCCATGTGGTTGGTGAGCAGGTTGGTTGTGGTGAGGGTCAGGTCATATCTGGGCCCAGTCTGTGCACGGCCCGGTCTGCACATGGCCCACTCTGCACACGGTCCGTTCTGCTCTGCACACGGCCCGCTCTGCACATGGCCTGCTCTGTGCACGTTCTGGTCTGCGCACAGCCCGTTCTGCTCTGCACATGGCCCGCTCTGCGCACAGACTGGTCTGCGCACGGCCCGCTCTACACACGACCCCATTCCTATGTATAAAAGAAGAATGAACTTGTACTTTGGGGTCACCACCTGTGAGTGTGAGACCCCAGCATGCTGGCCACCCAATAAACGCTCTTGTTTTTGCATCCACGTGTCTCCTGGTTATTTGGAGGTCGATTGCGCGGACCCAACAGTCCACAGAATAGAACTACTCTCTTTGTTGCTCACAACCTCATTGACTACAGAAAAAGAAGGAAGTCCACCATTAGCAGGTGAAAGATCACTTTTCAAATCAAGATGAACTAGCAAGGGAACTCCAGCAGGAGGAGGCTGGTCTTCCTGCCATGTTCAGTGGCATTTTGGCAGATAAACAGATGTGACCCGGTGGAGGGAATCGCTGAGATTCAGCAAAGCTGGTTTGTCAAAATTAACTTGGCTTCCTAAGACAAGATAGGGTTGAGTTATTATATTTTAAAAGAAACAACTTTACTTTCAAATGGTTAAAGTGGTGAATTTTGCATCGTGTGACTTTTATCTTTTAAGTCCAAGGAGAGGAAATCCCCGGGCAAAATACCTCTAAAAACCGAGATCAGTCCAAGGGAGAAATAAAGTTTAAAACCCGTTTATTGCTTACAAACTGCAGACCGGCCCATCTCTCTCCTGCTCAAGCAGCAGCAAAACTGGTCCTCCCCTCCCCTCTCAGGTACAGATAAGCCCTCTGTGCCCAGGTAATTACCCATTGATACGGAGATGAACTTCTCTCCACCCCTGAGGAATGATGGAAATGTACTAAAGCCATACTTCTTTCTACCTCTGAATGCCTATTGATATGTAGATATATTAAAGCCAGGTGAGATATTCTGGAAACATAACAATTTTACCCACATATCTCAAAATGATTTGTATGAAAGTACAGCTGATGTCCTAACTTTGGAATGTCCTAACTTTGGAAGTAATAAAATCTTACTATTTCAATTGTGGGAGTTAAATATTCACTTACATGCAACCTAAACCATGCTAACAGATGTATCACAGATGGCTTGTGAAATTTTCTATTTGAAAGATATGAAAGTGAGGACCTTGCATTCTAGGTATTAAAATGCACAATGTACATTCTATAGTAAAGAAATGTGTAGCATTAATTCTGGATAAAATATGGTGAACCATTTGGAGATTCTCAAGACCCTACTTTGGAGAGTAAAAAGAACTCTTCACCCCCTCCCACCCCTCCCCAAGAAAAAAAGAGAAGGGGGAAAGAAAATAATAATGTCGCAGTTACCAATAGTAACCAAACAAGAAAAGAGAACCACTTAATGAGAAGACATTCAGAAAGTGCTAGCTCACAGGAAAAACAGAAGTCTGACAGTATCACAGTGAGGGCACACTCCTACCTTCCAAACACCACGTCTTGTGAGTCTACAGAAGCCCAGAAGTTCTCCCTCAAATCTTCAGAGAAAAAAAAGGAGTCATTGTCTACTTTAAATTTTTCCAGCTTTTGACTATGGTATAGTGAAAATGACTGCTTTGGAGATGAGAGAAAGAGAGAAATGTCAGCAATCTGGCCCAAGTGTGATGCCTCCTGGACCTCCATTGGTTGGGGTACTGAGCTGATGCTCAGAGGTGCCAGGAAGGAGTGGGAAAGCTCTTCCCCCAGCCCTGCCAACTCTATTATTCACCACAGCTAGCAGAACCCCATCTTAGCCCATTCCCCCCATGCTCGAAGGATATGGAAAATTAGGTGTAAAGGGAATATGAAGCCCTCAAATTGTAACCAGAAAGGGGAAAGGAAAAGGGTCTGATGTAAGGAGCAAGATGAGCAAAAAGGTCTGGAGAAAGCTGCCAAGCAGGGACAAGGTGAAAACAATGGACTAAAAAATGATATTAAAAGGGACAAAGAATCAGAAAGATAAAGGGTAAAGGATAAAGAACCAAAGTGGTTTGGATTTCCCAAAAACCAACTTGAAGCAAGAAGATGATAGAGTAATGACTTAAAAATTGTGAAAAAAAGTAATTTTTGAACTAGAATTCCATACAGTCCAAACCATCTATCAAACTTGAGGGTAGAACCTTTTTGGATATGGAAGGTCTTCATGATATTTACTTCCATGTCTCAGGAAACAAACAGAGGTTGTTTCACCAAAAGGATGTAGTAAACTAAAGCAAAGAAAGGCATGGGATACAGGACACACAGATTCCAAGATAAAAGTGAAGGGAGCATAGAGTAGAAACAGAAAAAAAAAGTCCTTAAGAATCCGTAAGCACAAGTTGGCCAAAACTGTGCTCAAATTTCCAGCCCAAACTCATATCACCCACTTGGTCCAAAAAACATAAGCTGAGAATTTACCTCAATGTGCCCAAAGTCTAGTTGCACACTAGGATTTTGACAGAAGCAAAGGCAAATTCTGAAAGAAAGTACCTTCTTCCTAGACCTCAGCTAATACCCACAAATTTTCCAGGGCAATGAGTGGCTCACACAGTTGAATGTAACCAATCACACAAGGAAGACAGGCACTATGAGCAAGAACCTGTGGAAATACGCAACATAAATAGACAAGGAGAGACTTCAGATGTTGGAATTAACACAGCAAAATCAGAAAACAAATGTATTGATTATTTTTAAAGGAATTAAAATATATATATTCAGCATATGCAGGGAACAGGCGTCCCTGAGACCATCAGGTGCTGGATTCACTAGAAGGGCCTCCAGGACCCCACATACAGTCACAGCTGAGATTTAGCGGAGTGAAAGACATACAACCAAGTCAGCAAAGGGCTAAGGCACATGGGAGAGCAAAGGAAGGCTAGGAGAAATGTGTTGACTTTTAGGAAGATTTTTTTTCTATGCATTTTTGTGACGATTTTAACGTTTTTTAAAAAAGTCAGTACTTTTTAAGATGATTCAAAGGTAGGAAGTCCGACAGCAGTGTTAGTGGGTGGCATGGAGGTGGGTCTAGAACCTCATCTCTGTTAGCAGCCTAAGGAAACACGTAGTCTCAGTCAACACTTGGCTTTGCCTTTCCCAGTGCTCATTTGCAACACCACCACCAACTCTGAAAACTTCCTGTAAAGACATTCTGCAGCCTCCATTTAGTGAGAGTTTGGGTTTCCTGAAGCGGAATTAAGTCCAGTGGTTAAGCAGCATAACCATAATAAAAATCCTTCTTTTAAGCTAAAATAATGTAATGGCCAATATGACTGGAGGGAGGAGAATGTCCAAGTGGGCAAGCTGGAGAGGCTCCAACTGAGCGCCAAGACCCCCTGCCACCTTCTTGGTCTCCATGGCAACTATCACTGAACAGACAATATGTTTTATTTCAGTTATTGTATCTGGGCTCCTCAGGGTACAGCCTTTTAAAGTAGGCACTGCCACCCAGTGTTGGGAAGAATATGAGGGTATGGGAACAGTTTCATGGAAAAATTTTAAAGAAGACTGTCCAAAAAGGGGGGAAGGAAACTAGGTAGGCATTTTTAAACCATTTTAAGGACTACAGAAAAGGATTAAATTTAATTTATTTAGCTCCAGACCCTCAGAACCGGTTGTGGTATCAGGATGCAGTTAAACTCACTGCCAAGAACCTTGTAATAATGGAGGTGCTGCACAGGCTGGGCCACCCAAAGGTGTGCCGTGAAGTCTGTTCTCCTAAGGCAGCAGGCCACCTGCAGGATTCTACAGGCCTCTTGATCACCGGCCAGCAGAAGAGTCTTGGGTCGGTGGCTGGGAATGCACCGCATGGTGAACAAGATTGTATTCCTAAGCAATTGCTCGGCGAAGCGGACACGCCCCTGAGTGGGTGTCGTCAGGGAAGGATCAGGCGGCCGGCTGGAGGCTGGCCAGAGGTTCCCGCAGACCGCAGCACCTCTTCTTCGCATAGAAAGGCCCCTTGCTCGGGTCTTCTCACCCTGGGAAGAGGGCAGAGGACTCCCGCGCCCTTCTCCCCTTAATCTACTGCCTCCCCCACTCCAGCCGCCCCTGCCTGCCCGGAAGCTGGGAGCTCTGGAGACGCCGGAACTCTGGGGCGCCGGGGGAGCTGGGGAGTTGCGGGGGCGTTGGGGCGCTGAGGGGCAGCTCCAGCGGGAGCTCTGGGGACGCGGCGCGCGCCGGGGGCGCGGCGGGCGGGAGGAAGTGCGGAGCCTGCCCGGGCGCGTTAAGGAAGTTGCCCAAAATGAGGAAGCGCCGAGCGTCGGGCGGCTGCAGCACTCCGGCGACGGCAGGAGCGAGCAGCGGGCGACCCCGCGTTGCGCCCCGAGCTGCCCCGGACGCTGCTCCGGCCCGCGGCCCGTCCTCGCCGCGCCCGGCACAGGTAGGGGAATCGGCGCGCGCCCTCCGCCCGGCCGCGGAGCCCCGAAGCGCCCTGCGCGGCCGTGCCCCGGGCTGAGGCTGGGATCAGCCATCCCGCGGCGGGGCGCTCAGGGCCTGCGGCCTGTGCAAAAGGAGGGGCACCTTGTGACAGTCTTTCTACTAAAACGAGTCAGGCTGTGCCAGTTTTTCTCCTCCGCCTAGTGCCTCTGGAGGCGGAGGCGGCCGGGTCCGCGCCGGGCCGGGACTCCCGGTGCCGCCGAGCGAGCGTAGTGAGCGCGTCAGCCTTGGGAGACCCGGGCGCGACCCGCGGGCGCCAGGGCCTCGGCTCCGCAAGAGCGCGTGTTCGTGGGCCATTTACGGGAGCCACTGGAAAATTCTCCCGGGTTTATCGAAGTGACTCAGTGTAGAAATACTCATATGCCTGCAAAGGTTTTATCTGTACAATTCTTGTACTGCAGAAAGAAAAAGCAGTTGCATAATAACAAAACTTTCGGAACTAAAATCTATTGTGTCTGTGCCTTACTCGACACATTTTCATGGTAAAGTAACTTGATTAGCCAGGGAATGACTTGGAGAGCAGGAAAGTTTTGTGTAGTAAAATGTAAATTTGAGTTAAATATGTTTTTTGGCAATATGCAACAAAAACTTTAGACCCACCTAAATAACTGAAGGAGATTCAATTTCTGTCTTGTTTGGATATTCAACAACTGGAAAGACAGTGAAGTCTGAATCTTTTTACACTGGTAGTAACAGTGTTGCAGATTATCTTAAAGAGTTTGAAGATTCCATTGAACCCAAGTAAAACTGTTGACTAGAGATGTTCTTTTTTTTAAACCGTCCAAGCATTTCAACCTGTGGTTAAGAGCTAGAGCTGTCCCATCTCAGAATTTTCATGTTAAGAAAATAATAATTATCATGTGATGATAGAGAATTCCTGGAAGAGACAGGATGATTCTAGTATCTGATTTCTCTGTTTTAAAAAGCAAATTCACTGTATTACACAGGCAACATTTTAATTAAATGCAATTAAGTTCATTGATATGTGTGGCTCCTCCCAAAGTCCAGGTAGCTCATGAATATGTTTGTATTTGAGATAAAAGGTTTAAATACTTGTTTTAGGTGTGTTAAGTGAGAAATCTTGTAAGTTGAAATTATGTTATCAAATCATTTGCTCTATCTACATCATACTTTTGATTCGTTTTGAGAAATTTTGCAGCAAAATAGGAATTCATTTGTATTCTTTGTATTTGGAGTGCTTTGATATATAAGATTTTAAAAATAATCTTAAAACTAGAATGTTTAAATGTTTTAAGCTAGGATAAAAATGAGGTGTATACTTTAGGTCTTTACTTTTCCTAAGGGGTGAATCTAGTAGTGATCCTTTCATTGCTAGATTTGCATTTCAGAAATAACCCACCTTAGCTTTCTTTAGGCTCATATTTAATATTCTAAGTACAGGTCTGATTTCCCTGTTTTTAAACCAAAGACTTCTCAGCAGGACATCACTTACATAGCACATAGCATAACCACAATCAAAGCCCTGTGCCAAGATATATTTTGGAGTTCAAGATTTTTCCGAATTTAAAATTCAAATGTAGAATATAACTTCAGCACTGATGAAGACATTTCTCATAATTTAGACAGGCACACACACAAGCTGACACCACGTGTTACGTACCACTCCAGTAGAGTCTGGGCAGCAGCCTGAAATCTGCCTATTAATGTTTCTGCATGAACCCTGTGAATAGCCTAAGTGGTATAAATAGAGACTGTAAATACCTGTGTGTCAGTTTAAGGCAGGTGTTCTCACTAAATGAGGTTCCCTAAAACTTACCAAAGAACTTGTTCTTTAGAGCTTTTGGTTTTAAGGCTAAAGAATGGCATTAGATTCAATCATCAAGCTGCTGTTGCTTTTGAAAGCAAATTGCATTTCTGTTTCCTAATAACTCATACTTTCCAGTAATCAGATGGACAGTTCCCCCTTTTCAGGGAGTCTGAAATAGCAAGACTTGACTGAATTTTCAATAATGATCAAAATATAGATCTTCCAAGTGAGAATAGAATATTTCATCCTTACATGCTTTTAAACAGAAGTTTCTGACAGTCTATGATTTTAGAGCAAGAACTCAGTAGTTACTCAGAGAAGGGGTATTGTCACCTCTTACAGCTGTAGTATGTCCTTGCAGTAACCACCATGTCCTTTCACTTTGCATCTGCCTCTATCTCTGTTACCTGTGTCTAGGGAATGGCAGGGCACTTTGTACAATCTGAGCTAATTTTTGCTTTGTCAACTTTTACTGTATAGATTTTTTTCCCAGTTACCCTATAACTCACCTCTTCTCCCTCATTTGCAAGTCTTAACATTTTCTTCTACTTCTGAATTGGTCTAGCTGTGAATGAGTGGAGAAAAAATTAGGAATTTAGGCCTTTGGGGAGAATTTTTTTAAATGTCTGCACACTGAACTTTTTCTCTTTTAAAGCAACTGAAATTAAAAGGCAGAGTTTTAAAGAGAGATTGGAATTAAATTGCCTGACTTAATCATGTCTTACCATGTACCTTGGATTTGAACAAATTTGTTCTTCTTCACTTGGAAAAAAGAGTCTTTTAGTTTTTACTGAAGAATTGTGGGAAGGTTAAAAAAACTAGGCTGATTGTATTTTAAAGGAAAATTTCATTCGTTCATTTTGACATTGTATTAACAGGGAAATTTTCTATTAGCTTATAATTTTGTCTGGCAAAAGGTTAGTTTGTATCATTTGAAAAGAGTTTTTTTTTTTTTACCTTAAGGATTAATTATGTAAGTTTTGCCCTATTGGTTGAATTGGAATCCTAACTATAGCCACATTTACCCAAGTACAAAGATACCAATAAAAAGAAGAACATTTAGTTTATATTACACTAGGTTTAACAAATTATAAATGACTCTCTCTGGATTCTTTTATGTCTGGGAAACCATGTGTTTACCTTTGGAGGCTGCCAAGGGCTGATGATGGGGATGGGGATTTAGAATGTGGGTGAACCTTGATTTTCTATGAAGGCCATACTGGGAACTTGCAACTGGACAGTGTGTGGTAGGCAGCATCCTCTGTCCCAGGGGTGCCTCGCTCTGAGCCTTGGGTCCTGGCTCCTGAAACTGGAGAAGGCAGAGCCTCTCCTGCTCTTGGAGCCCTGGCAGGAGCACAGGGTAGCAGGCTTCCAGAGCAACTTGCTCTGTGTGCTGCCTTGATGAGAGCAGGATGAGCAGGCAGCCGAGGAACAGGGAGCAGGCTGGGATAGTGTCAGGGTGAGCAGAGCCCAGGCCTGGAGTCAGTCCATGGGGGTAGAGCAGCATGGAAGAGGCGGAGGGCCGAGCATTAGGTTATAAAAAGCCACACTGTGAATGGTGGTTTATTTATACACCTGATGGCTACAAAGAGCATCCGAACATGTCCAAATGTGACCTCCTACTTTTCCATTCCATCTGTTTGTCTTAATTGATGCATGTTCGATCTGTCCTGGTCAGTCTGATAATTTATTAAATCTACTCATTTCTACTGAATTGTCACAGAAGTGTTTTGGTGTGACCAGAGTTAATTTTTCTTTCTATTTAATTTTAACTTACAACAGTGCCTTCCCATCCTCTGGTACTGCTCCCCAAAAGCAGTCTAATCCTTTGGGTTATTTCTTCTAGAATTCTCCTTATATAGGATATATTCCTGATAATATCCTTGTTTACTTTTTTTCTTTTTCCCTTTGAGGTATCAGTTTTAGACAGTGTCTGCTGACTTCCTGCTCTAAGAAGCGAGCCCTACCCTACCATCCCTCCGGAAAATCATTCTGTAAATTGGGGTTAAGAAGCCACTTGGTGCCCCCTGTGACTGTTACTGCTGAAGTGAGTGTACACCACAGTTCCGTGTTGCTTTTCCTGGGTAAACGCCCACTCTGTTTTCTCGGCCGGCCCTCGGCCTGGTGTGATCATCTCCCCATCTCTCCGCATGACACTAAAAGCCCCTTGGCTCGATTTCCCACAGAGTCAGATATACCATGTGATCTGTCAGTTCCTTTTCTCACTTTTTTCTGGAACTCTCCGTCTTCTTGCTCCAGGCTGAATAGGTTCTCTTCAGTCTTGTTATACACGTGTTGATTGCTGGAGCATGTTTCAAGGAATTGGTGGATGCTCTACAAATTGCTCATCAGGCCTTTATTTCCCCTTTGGGATCTTAACATACCTCTCATCAAATCCACACACATTTTACCTATTGTAAATCCATTGGCATAATTGTTGAAAACATTTTCCCCAGACTTATTTCTATGGGTTATTTTTTTTTACATACTTTATTATTATTAGTTTTTTTGTAGTAGAACTTTTATAATCTTCTTTAAAATTTTTATAATTTCTTCCATTGACGTATTCTGAATCAAGTCTACTGAAAGGTTATTTTTAACTCCAATTTAGCAGTTGGTACCTTTTAAATCAGGGTCAGTGTCAGCTCCGTGTGTGTGATGACACTGATGGTTTATTATCATGTTGGTGGGAGTATGGGTTTTCCTGGGAATGGGACGTCCCCAGGGCTTTAATCAGATGGCTTCCCTTGATTCCTGAAGTGGTGCTGTGTGATTTTATATGCTATCATCCCCAGAAAGCTTTCCTTGTTCAAGTGAGTGAAATGCTAGATGGAATAAAGTTGAGTCGGTGGGATCTGTGGCAGGCCCTCTCTGTGCAGGTGATTCTGTGCATGGAGGTGGCATGTGTTGGCACGTGCACACATCTGTCTGGCCCCGGGGTGCGTTGTTTCTTGGAGCACCTTGGAGACTGGGGTTCCTGAGGTCCACTTTGGGAAATGCTGGGTGACTCCTGTTGCCCCTTTACAAAGTGCCCCTTTACCTGGCCTGTGGTTAGAAGGGGCTCAATTGTCACAGCCTTCCCCAGGGGGGAATCTGCTCCTGCAGCCGTGGATGGAAGCTAATAATAGCACTCCCAAACTGATCGCAGATGAATTAGTGCCATTTCTAAAGTTAGTGTCTCTGGCCTCCAAAATGGGAGAATTTTTTCTCATTTTCTTTTTGGGAAGTATTAAATTGCATAACTGACACACAAGCCCATATGTATTAGTGAAGAACTCAGATGCAGGAAGCTGGACAGCCTGACACCCTCCTTCACACCCTCCCTGCCCTGGCGCACCCCACGGCTGGAGGGCAACTTTGTGTGTCTGCTTCCAGCCCTTCATCCTGGGTATTAATGAGTGCATGTGTACACGTATCTTTGGAAGATACCATGTTGGAGGGTGTGTGTGTGTGTGTGTGTGTGTGTGTGATCTCAATACCAATATCATTCTGCAACTTTCCTTTGTAGGTAACAGAATGCCAGGATGGGGCAGCTCTCCTATCAGTGGTCTGTATGTTTTATTCCACAGGGTGAAAACATGATCCTTTATTGAAAAACATGTGGGTTTTTCCCCCGATTTCTGTTGTTATAAACAAAGCTATGGGGGCTGCACGCTTCCTCTCTGTCTTCCCTCTCTTCTGCCGGCTGTGCTGTGTTTCCCGAAGCCATCAGGTGACTCATTACCTGGAGAGAGGTCTCAGCCCTGTCCATCCCGTCCCGTTACTGAGTCTGTACTGCGTCTCACTCAGCAAGTGGTTAAATTGCCAAGGAATGTGGTTCTGTCTTACACTGTTAGTGACACAGTAACTTGTGCCCATCCCCAGCGCAGGGCAAACCTACCCTTCCTCCTCCAGGACCCCTGCCTCCTTCGCCCCAGCACCGCATGCCCATTGGCCTTCCCTGGGTCAGCCTGCCTGACATGCGTGGTATTCCTAAGGTGTGTGTGGGCCCTTTTCTTTCTTTGTTTTTTTTGAGGTGCTCTAGAAGCTAGTCTTTCCAGGCTGCCTTTGTTGTGTGGCCCTCCTGTAGCCTGTACCCAGTGAGATGGGAGGAGGGCGATATAAACCCAGGGCAGGTGACCAGCAGCCAGCATGTGGGCCGTAGGGCCCCCTGCTCCTTGCTGACTCGGCCCTGCCCTGCCTCTCCAAGCGCATGTCTTTCCTGCAGATGGACTTGTGCTGCTCTGAAGGGTGCCAGCAACTGAGGTCCTGGGGAGGGCCTGGCTGCTTCCCCCACCCAGCCCACCAGGTCCCTCCATTTATGAAGCATCACAGCCTGGGAACTTGTCCCACCTCACAGCTGCCCCCGGCTGCCCACCCTCCGTTGTCGTTTCCCTCTGCAGTGTGAGCCCGTCCTGCTCTGTGTCATTCAGCGATGGTGCTCTGGTGGCATGTCGCCTTTGCTCCCAGCATGGCTATGGATTCATATTCTGTTACTGCTTCTGATTCTGTTTCTTTCCTTTCTCTGCATTTATAGTTGCTGCATAAGCTTGAAGCGGAAGTCCACCACTTCCTTTTTTTTTTTTTTAGCAACACCAATCAACTGATGGTCCTAGCTGCTTGAAGGAAGTGACAGGGAGAAGAAAGGAGAGGAGCTCGCTAGGTGGGGTGGACACAAGCATGGGGCTTCTCTGGTCTTGGCTGTTGCCCTGGGAGCCGTGCCCACTGCCTGGGCGGTCAGGCAGGAAGCATGCTGAACGACAGGGCTGCATGGTTAAAAGTCTGTCTGATTATTAGGAAAGCACCAGACCCAGAGCCACATTTCTCAAAAGCATGTTTAAGGGTGCATAAGATGTTTAAGGAGGAGGGATCTCAGGGACTACCTAATCAACTTGCTGAGAAGCAGTGAGGCTCAGGAAGGTGAAGTGACTTGCCCAAACCTGTGACATGCTGGGGTTCAAAGTCTCAAACCTGTGTGCTTCTAATCCAGAGCTAGGATTCTTATCCACCATTCTGATAAGTACTATGAAGGCATTTGCCCTTGTGCCCAGTGATGGCAAGATTTAAAGTCCTCTCAGTGGACACGGGGAAGCCCGAGGAGGCAGGGGCTGAGGGGTGAGCTCAGTGTGACTTGTTGATTTCACTCTTACAGTACTTATAGAAAACGGGTTATTATCTTTATAGCTTTGTGTTGAGAATTTAAGCTAATTTGATAGAAGTTGGGCCCCAAATCCTGAATGAATGAGGTTAATATGAGAACATCTGATGTTCTGTCTATGCCTCCTCTCAATGCAGATTAAGCCTTCTTCCAAATTTACCATCCAAATTGAGCAAGTAATGTGGGGGCTGATTTATACCTCAGGCTTTCCTATCCCTGGCTGTACCCGTGGGAAGAGCTGCTGCTTCCTGTGGGCATTACTGTGGGAGGGCTGGCAGGGGAAGGATGGGTGTCCTGAAGGGATAGGATAGAGAGCGGGAGAAGGAAAACTTCCAGCTCAGTTCCATTACATTGTGGAAACTGTCATGATGCAGGTGGGATTTCAGTGAGTCAGTCAAAGAAGGGCAGCTTGACAACTATGGAGAGAGGGTGAGGATGGGGAGGGTGCGGATGGGGAGATGGTGAGGATGGGGAGGTACAGACAGGGAGAGGGTGCAGGCAGGGAGAGGATGCGATGGGCAGGGGGTGCAGATGGGGGGAAGACGTGGATTGGCAGAGGGTGTGGATGGGGAGGGGGTGCAGATGAAGTCACGTGTGATTCCCCAATGAAACCACCAACATCTGCAAAAACAGATTTGTAACTTATTCCTCCTAGTTCTCCTCTTCTGAGAAAACTCTGGAAACAGCATCAATGTCCATTAATCACGTGATGGTGTATTCATTTGCTAGGGTGGCCGGAGCAAAGCATTCCAGCATGGGTGGCTTAAACAGCAGACATTTGTTTTCCCATAGTTCTGGAGGCTGGGAGTCCGAGAGCACAGTGTTGGCAGGATTGGGCTCCTCTGAGGCCTCACTCTCTGGCATGTAGATGCGGTCCTCTCCCTGGGTCCTCACATGGGCATCCCTCTGGGAGTGTCTGTGTCCTAATCGCTTCTTATAAGGACACCATTCTGATTGGATTAGGATCTACCTTGATGACCTCATTTTAATCACCTCCAAATACAGTCCCATTCTGAGGTCCTGGGGGCTAAGACTTCAACATATGGATTTGGGGGACGGGGTGACACAGCCCATAGTGTAGTTAAGTGGATCCTGGCGCCTCCTTGCAGCGGCCTTGCTGTGATTCCAGCAGGAGCTTGAGGGGCACTCCAGGCCTCTGGCAGAGGGACATCTAAGCCAGCCAAGGTGAGCCTTGTGCAGGGACAGCTACAGAGCCTTGTGCACATAAGCACCAGACAAAACCAAGCAAGCTAAAATGCTTAAGATATAATTTTTCTTCCACCTTCAATCGACAAAGTGTAAAAAAAAGAAACTTATGAGAAGGCCTAGAGACAGGATGAAGAATGAGGGTGCAAAGCATTGACAAACCCCACGGGCCCTTAAGGCAAATGAGCAGTGGAGGGAGGAGCAACAGAGCCAGTTGCACATGGAGGTGACATGGTCTGCCATTGTTCCATTCCATTGGTCCAGCTCAGTTCCTGGTCTGCCATTGCCCACCAGTCAGGGAAGGGGGCACGAGACAGTCAGTAGGAGTCCTGGGAAAGCTGGCTAACAACTTGAAAAAGTAAAGCTTTGCTCTTTATACAAAGTACATCCCACAAATAATAAAAATAACAAAGAATAAAAATATAACAGCAACCTAAGAGTACTAAACGAAAACAGGTGAGTTTTTAAATCATTGTGGCTGGAGGATGTCCATTCTCAATATGACAGAAAATATGAAACCACAATAGAAAAAGATCAGTGAAATTAATCTTCCTAGAATTTTAAGCAAGTACCTCTATGAGTGAAACATATATATAGATAAGTGGGAAAAATCCTGTAAGACACATTTATTTTCAGTGCTGTGGTAAAGGGCCAATAACTTTAATATGCAATGAGTTCTTTCAAATCAATGAGAAAAATAAACA